TTATAAATCACCTTGTTTTGAAAACATTAGAAATCTAAAAGTCATTAAAACAACGTAGGATTGAACAAGAAAGCAATATAAGCATGGATGAACGAATAACCATCGATAACTAGTGATTATCTGCCTTTATTTATTTTTCTATCACTCTATTGTATGCTCCCTCGCAGTTTAAAATTTTTTGTCGATTAATGTAATACGAGCATTGTTTGTCACTTTGATATTGACACCTAGAACTGATAGTAAATATGTCAAATGTAACCGATTATGATAAGTATTGGGTTGGTAAGAAATTTTTGTCGTTTTTTTTCGTAACTTCGTAGAACAGTCAAGAAAGTTCCAGAAGTTTCCATGCTAAGAGTATATAAAGGGAGTGTAAATATCTTTCGAACAACAATAAAACTATGGATATACAGGGTGTCCCAGAAGTAAGGGAACAAGAAGGGTATCTGCTAAAATTGAACGAAAAATTGTTTATGATAGTTTCCGCACTTTTTGTTGATGTAGAGAGCTGAAATTTTTATCACACCTGTATCTAGCCAAGATCTTTTATTTCTGAAAATTTCAGCTCTCTACATCAATAAAAAATGCGCAAACTATCATAAACAATTTTTCGTTCAATTTTAGCAGATACCCTTCTTGTTTCCTTACTTCTGGGACACCCTGTATATCCATAGTTTTATTGTTGTTCAAAAGATATTTACACTCCCTTTATATACCCTTAATATGGAAACTTCTAGAACTTTCTTGACTGTTCTACGAAGTTACGAAAAAAAACGACAAAAATTTCTTACCAACCCCATATTTCTTTTACGAACCAGCAAAAGAAATAAAGTTAGGCAATCCGAATCAAGTAGCATATTATATACCAATACAATCTAGTATTAGACAAATGTTGAGTATGCCTAATGTGTTAAATATGTAAATCAAAAATTATAATGAAACAATTAGTTGTAGTGCTCGTGATCTTGATCTTATGTACGATTATCGTCGTGAATCACAAGCAAAATAGCATTCAATTTTAAAAAATAAACCTGATTTGTTGTTGTTTCAATTATACATTGATGAAATTGGAGTAACAAATCCCATAGGTGCAAAAAAGGATACTTAAAAAATTACAATGATTTATTTTCAATTAGAAGATTTATCCAATAATGTCAAGTCAAAGTTAAAATCAATTGACCTTCTAGCAATTTGTCATCCTGCTCATTTATCTGCAAAATCAAATCGAGAAAAGTTTTTTGATTCGATCGTCGAGGACCTCAATGCTCTTCAAACAAATGAACTTTATATTCCAGCTTTAGGTGGTCGATTAGATTTTGCATTTTCTATTGTAGCTGGTGATCACTTAGCATCGAATGATATAGGTGGTTTTCAAAAATCTTTTAGTAATGGCCAATTTTGTAGACATCATCATATAAATTATGATCAACGATTTATTTATTTAAGTGAAATTTCTCATGTTCAAAGAACAAAAGATCAACATGATAATTTAGTTCAACAAGTGTTACGTTTGAATAATAATAATGTTATAGATGACGTTATTGATAAAAGTTCATTATCAGAATGAATTGGTTTTCATGCTGTTGTATTATTACCGAATGATGTTATGCATGATCTACATGAAGGTATGCGAAGAGAGTTTTTTTCTAGAAAATGATGATTTTCTCTCTATTTAGGTCTTTGTGGTCAAGTATTGTTAGCAATGTTTAAAGAGTCATCAATAAAACGACTTCTTTCTTAAGCAGAAATTGAAGATAGGTTGATGTCATTTGAACATGATTCCTATGATAAGAAAAATAAACCACCATTTTTAAGAAAAAACATTTACATAAAGAAAAAATAATTGGTACAGCATCTCAACAAATGTGTTTATTTAGACTATTTTCGATTATATTTTATGACATAATTGATCGGTTGGATACTAAAGGATGTCTACACTTGTTTACATGAAATTGTCAGTCATGTATATGCTTCACATAAGCAAATACCATTCAATACAATTATCATGCCATTTTCTACCGTTCAAAACACAACTCTCTTTAGAAAAATTCAATTTTTATTTTCTATCTAGATCGACTGAGCAGTTCAATATTTAGCTGAATTTTCATTTCTAAGTTAAACTTAGATTTAGATTTAGATCGATTCAAACGAGCAACGATTAGCAACTTATACTTCAAATATAATTTTATTTTATATTTAAATAAACGAACTACTAAAATACCTCAGAGATTGTGATTTCTTATCTTACTTTATTTTTCTGTTTAGATCGATCGAAAATGGCAGCGCTGAGTAAGTTATATTTTAAATATAATTCCTATTTTATAATTATATCAACTAACCAAATGAATAACCAGGCAAACTTTGATTTCAAAATTCGATTTATTTTTCTATTTAGATCAATCCAAGAGAGAAATAGTTAGGCAAGCTATATTTGAAACAAAATTGTATTTTATATTTAGATCAACTAACCAGTTCAATAACTATTAGTAGTTTCATTTCTAACTCTGATTTTATTTTCTATTTAGATCATTCGAAACAAGTAGCGGTTAGTAAGTTAAATTTGAAATAAGATTATTGTTTATGTTTAGATTGACTCATTAGTTTAACATTTATGTGAATTTTTATTTCAAATTGTAATTTAATTCTATTTTTTTACCAATCGACAAGAGAAACAGTTAGGTAACTTATATTTAAAATATGATTTCCTTTTATATTTAGAACAACAAACCAGCTAAATGCTTCTGAGATTTTCGATTATATTTTTAATATGATATTCTATTTAAATCAATCGAAACAAGGAAGGATCAGTAAGTTATATTTGAAATAAAATTTTATATTATATTTAGATTAACTCACTAGTGCAACATTTAAGTGAATTTTTCTTTGAAATTGTAATTTAACTTTTGATTTAGATCAATCGAAATGAGCAGCCATTACTAAGTTATATTTGAAACATGGTTTTATTTTATATTTAGATCGGCTGATCAGTTGAATACTTCAGTTTATTTTCATGTCTAATTCTAATTTAATTTTATATTTAGATCAATCGAAATAATGAACGTTGAGGAAGTTATATTTCCAAGGTGATTTTATTCTATATTTCGATCAAATAACCATAGCAATAATTAAGTAAATATTTATTTCGAATTGTGATTTGATTTTGTATTTAAATCAATTGAAATATACAACTGTTTGTAACTTATATTACAAATTTTATTTTATTTTATATTTGGCTTGATTTACTATTTCAACACTTGATTGAGCTTTCATTTCAAAGTTCAATTTCATTTTCTATTTAGATCAATCGATGCGAGAAAGAGTAAGGCAAGTCACATTATAAACATGATTTTTTTATATTTCGATTAACTGGCCAGTTGAATATTTACACGAATTTTCATTTCAAATTGTAAATCAGTTTTGTACTTAGAGCAATCGAAACAAGCAACGCTTAGGTAAGTCATATATTAAATATGATTCTTACTCTATATTTAGATACACTAATCAGAGCAATAGGATAGCAAAGTTTATTTCAAATTCTCATTCATTTTTGTATTTAGATCAATCAAAACGACGAATGGTTGGGTAAGTTATATTTCTAATAAGATTCTTGGTTTATATTTAGATCAACTAACCAGTTAAATACTAACGAGGGAAGGCCACCAACTGTCCCCTCGCTTTTGAGCTGAAACTCAGTTGACAATAGGTAATCGAACGTGCTGATTCCGAATATCACAATGGCTTTTCCCCGCTTTCGATTTAAAGACCCGTTTTTTAAGAGAGAGTCCATGAGGGGACCGAGGAACCGAGGTACTGGACAAATTTTAAATTTCTGATTTGATGTCTTCATCTTAATCAGCATCGTCTAAAACCCCTAAATCCAAATTTTTACCGCATTTCGACGAACTGGTGAAAAGTTAGCCCAATACGACTTTGGGCGTCCTCAGGTAGTTATATGAAAAATTTCATAAAAAATTATCTTTATAAAATTGAATATTTTAATATAAGAAAAAATTAACAAAATGTTTACTATAATATACTAAAAGATAGAGGTTTGAACGCTGAACAAAATGAGCTATTTACATATAATCTTTCAGCAGTCTAATCAAAAGTTATATGTCAAAAACTTTTCGTGAGTGCTCATTTTTTTGAGTCAAAATGTGCTAATCCTTTTTAGTATATCAGCTGCCATTCAGCCATTTCAAGGTAGTCCAAGCTTAATTTTTTATATGCTATGCAGCTTTTAATTCTCTACAAAATGATAAAAAAATATTCAAAAAAAAAAGTTGGTCTTCGAGGCGAAGTGAGGCTCACATCTGTTTCCTAAATGGCAATTTCTGACGGTTTTTCACTAAAAAACCAAAATTTAGAGCGTACTTTACTATCAAGACACAACTTTAAAGCAAAATAAATATGATATTCGGAATCAGCGTCGAAAACTGCGTCGAGTCAAATATATTTCAAACAATTTTTTTTTCTATGAAAAAACCACATCTGGGGACCAGAGGACAAAATTTAAAAAAAACGCCCCCCGTAGGGGACCATAGGTGAATTTTTGACGGAAAAAAGTTTTTGTCAAGTTACATTTGAATCAACGTAACTTTTTACGCTGATTTCAAATATCATATTTATTTTGCTTTAAAGTTGTGTCTTGATAGTAAAGTACGCTCTAAATTTTGGTTTTTTAGTGAAAAACCGTCAGAAATTGCCATTTAGGAAACAGATGTGAGCCTCACTTCGCCTCGAAGACCAACTTTTTTTTTGAATATTTTTTTATCATTTTGTAGAGAATTAAAAGCTGCATAGCATATAAAAAATTAAGCTTGGACTACCTTGAAATGGCTGAATGGCAGCTGATATACTAAAAAGGATTAGCACATTTTGACTCAAAAAAATGAGCACTCACGAAAAGTTTTTGACATATAACTTTTGATTAGACTGCTGAAAGATTATATGTAAATAGCTCATTTTGTTCAGCGTTCAAACCTCTATCTTTTAGTATATTATAGTAAACATTTTGTTAATTTTTTCTTATATTAAAATATTCAATTTTATAAAGATAATTTTTTATGAAATTTTTCATATAACTACCTGAGGATGCCCAAAGTCGTATTGGGCTAACTTTTCACCAGTTCGTCGAAATGCGGTAAAAATTTGGATTTAGGGGTTTTAGACGATGCTGATTAAGATGAAGACATCAAATCAGAAATTTAAAATTTGTCCAGTACCTCGGTTCCTCGGTCCCCTCATGGACTCTCTCTTAAAAAACGGGTCTTTAAATCGAAAGCGGGGAAAAACCATTGTGATATTCGGAATCAGCACGTTCGATTACCTATTGTCAACTGAGTTTCAGCTCAAAAGCGAGGGGACAGTTGGTGGCCTTCCCTCGTAAGACAAGCTTCCATTTATAATTATCATTTAGTTTTGTATTTAGATCAATGAAAAGAAGTAATGACAAAGTAAGCTATATTTCTAATAAAATTCTGATGTTATATTTAGATCAACTAAGCGAAGCAACACAGGTAAGTTGTCATTTCTAATTGTAATCTGGTCATATATTTAGATATATCGAAACAAGCAACGTCAAGGTAAGTTCTATTTAAAATAGAACTTAATTTTATACTTAGATGAACTAACCAGTTGAATACTTATAGGTAAATTTTGATTTCAAATTATTATTTAGTTTTGTATTTAGATCACTCGAAACGACGAATGGTTAGGTAATACACATTTTAAATATAGTTTTATTTTACATTTAGATCAACTGGCCAATCCAATAATTTGATAAGTTTTTATTTCAAAGTATTATTTAATTTTCTATTTAGATTAAGTGAAGCGAGCAATGATTAGGTAAGTTATATTTCAAATAAGATTCTTATTTTACATTTAGATCAACTAATCAAAGGAATACTTGTTTAAGTTTTTATGTTAAATTGTAATTGAATTTTGCAATTAGATCAATCGAAACAAGCAACCACAAAGTAGTTATATTTCAAATATGATTTTATTTGGTACTTAGATCAGTTCAAGAGATCGATTGTGTGGGACGGTTTCATTTCAAATTTACGTTAACAGTGTTATTCGGATCTGCAGAAGGCGTCGACGATAAAGTAAGTATCTGTTAAATTATCACTCAATTCATATTCACATGAGTACAATCGTGTACTTGTCTACGTTAGTTTCAAATAGATATAAGGATGATAGTAAGTCTTCTAATGCTTAAGAACTTAGGAGGTGGCTCTCGGATATGGAACGGAAATGATATGAGATTTTATTTGTGTTGGTAGAATTATTGGCATCCTTACTGACCGTAGCGTTGCTAAGATGGTGTGGATATCTATGTAGTTGTGGCATGATTCCTATCATGTACGGTTAACAGTAGTTCATGGAGACGTGTGGCTGTGTTGTGCGTTATTTTCAATGAATCATTCTAAAACTATGGTTAGTGATGTGGTTCAAAACTGGATGGGCAAATTTTGTGAATAATTTATTACATTGAGTAGAAAGAGTAGTGTACGAAACCCTATTCTGGCGTTTTCAATAAGGGTTTCGTACAGAACCCGATTTATACGAAACCTAAAAGGGTTTCGAATTCGTTGCAAATCTCGAAACCCTTTTAGGTTCCGTACGGTACCTTTTTTTTTCAGTGCACACCCAGAGCCACAGCCACAGCCACACCCACACCCACATCCACATCCACATCCACAGCCACACACCCACAGCCACACACCCACACCCCATCCACACCCACACCCCACCCACACCCACACCCATAGCCACACCCCACACCCACAGCCACATCCCACCCACACACTTCTCCAACAAAATGCATATGAAGGTAACATTACTGATTGATGAACAAGTCTCCTACCTTCTTCTAAGTATTTTATAATAGCCTTATCAGCATCTTTTACATTTTGTCCTTGAAAATCTTTCGCTTCATCCGTAAATCGACATGGAGCATCAATTGGACAAACAACAGATCCTGTATCTTTATTGATAACATCATTTACAAGACAAACACGATAATCATCTTCTCCAAAATATGGAACTTGATGAACAACAGCTGTACCACTATCTTTTGTGAAATATTCATCACATAGTAAATGAAAAGCTGTTTTTATCTTTATTATTAAATATAATAAAAAAATATTTGAAAAAAATCTTACATCAGCGAAATAAGAAAATAATGGTGTATAATGCATTTCTTTTAAATGACTTTCTTTTAAACTATAAAAATCAACTTTTCTATCTAAACAAAAACAATATGAATGTTTATTTAACTTATCGTTCTAATATTTTATAACTATAAGATTTTTTATAACATTCAAATAATCGTTTTTTCATTAAAATAAAAACTTCATTCGTCATTTTATCTAAATAATCAAATACATAGAAATTCTTTCATTTTAAATATTCTCTCATGAACATACCAAGAATTTTAACATAAACTGAGTTTGGATTAACACAAAGTGCAAGATTCAATGGTAATGTCCATGGAGTTGTTGTCCAAGCAACAAGTTTAACTGTTAGATCATCAACAAGAGGAAACGATACCCAAACAACCAGATCATTTGTATTTTTATAATTTTGATCAACTTCGAAATTTGATAATAATGTACAACAACCTATTGAATGAGGCGTTATCTTAATAAAATATTTTTATTTTCAATATTTAAACAATTCCTTTATTTATACTTTAAAATCACAATAATAAAAACCTTTTTCATATAATTATTTAAAAACAAACCAAACTGATTCCATGAACCATGGATACATTGTTTTATAATCTTGACGAAAATCATTTCGATCATCGACCCATGCGGTCAACAATATCCTTATTTATTCAAATTATGTTTATCTCTGTTTTTATCATAGAAAAAAAAACAATACCTCCCACTCTTGAACATATCGTATAACAAATTGTCGACAATGATTCTTATAAGCAGCAATACTCATCTTAGCTATTTTTAAAACGAAAGACATGTATTAGAAAGACTACAAGGGCAGGAAAATAATGCTTACCCCAACCAAATCGACGTTCAACGTGATGTCCTGTTTGATAAGCCCATCGAGTTACTGTATCTTTGATTTTTGCAGCTAGAATACATCCGTAATGTGGAAGATCAGTAGCAAACGGTGGACTGTCCTAGAACGTATTTCTTCAATTTATTATTTATTTACTTTAGCACTTTTGTTGTTTTCTTCCACTTTGGTCGATCTTTGAATAATTTATTACTTGTTTGAAAAGCATTTATTTGCTTCCAATAAGCTAAAATATTTGTTTTATTATTTCCAAATTCAAGTGTTTCACCAGCTACGGAAAAATCCATTGTTGTAGACTGTGTTGCAGTTGTATCGATATTCGTGGCCATCTACTAGATAAAAAACAAAAAAATATTTTTATGCAAATTGTACAAAATCAATGTTTTTTCAATAATATCAAACTTGAAAGTTGAATTCAAGTTTTCAAATTTTCAGTTCGAGCGTTATTCACGCCAACATGCTAGCGTGTCCCCACACGCAGAGAGGTTGAATACTTGAATTCAACTTTCAAGTTTAACATAATATGTTTGATGGATGAATGAATCTCATAAAGAAAATGAGTGTGGGTGTCGGCGTTGGTGATAGGTGCAATGTGGGTATGCGTGTCAGTGTGATTGTGGCTGTGGATGGGTGTATTTGTTTTGTGTACCTACACCCACATTGAATACTGAGACGATTTGTGGATGTAGTTCTTGGTCCACCAGATGTGTTCGAAGCCACACAATAAATATAAGACCTTTTTCACACTGAGCTATAATAGCATTTTGTTTTCAGTATTAGGTTTTAATTCTTAGCTTTGTCAAAACCAATGTATGTTGCGAAATGTTCTATATTTGATTAGTTTCACATGTATTGGTACTATCGCTGAACTTCTTCGATCATACGTGAAGTTAACTTGAATGTTTAAATATTAGGATTTTCAAATATTGATTAATCCATCTTTGTGACATACTTTAAACTTTGAGAGAAGCAGAAAATATATGTCCGATAATATCGAAAATGAAAGTTCGGAATCATCTTGAATGGTTTCCTCATAAAATATGTTTGATTATAAGAATTTTCTTAAAATGTATGATACAATATAAAATAGAAATTCCAGACAAAATTTCTACTAATTCCTTCACTAAGACAAAGAGAAAAACTCAATCTTTTTCTAATGTCATTTTATTTATTTTACGCTGTTTCGTATCATGTTACATAATGTGTTATAACAATTAGTTGTCGTGTAGTGTTCCTATATTGCGTTCTTTTCAACCAAATAGACATGACTCATGTCGTGCATTTACTTGAGCTAACATCGGTATACCGTCGGTTGCCTCGAGTAACGTGATATACCGTTGGTTTTCTTGATTACCGCGGTATACCAGTGGTAAAACCATTACATTATCGAAGTATGTTTTATCATTCAGTTTCCATGATATATCAGAAAAATCTGATTTTTTTATTAGTTATAATATTCATATAATGCTAATGATCTGCCAAGGATAAGGGGTTTATCTCTTGTTTGAAACCAAAAAGATTGAATATCTTTGCAAAACCTGTTCATAAATATCAACAGATTTTTTTGAGACATTCAATTATTTTGGTTTTGTTACGGACATTGCCCTCACAGTATGTTTTTCTTTTTCCATGGATGTGATATCTTCGATCATGTATCATCATTTCTTTCTTTTCGTTAAAACGCTCGATGCGTGTGCGAGGACATCTTTGATTTAGTAAAAAATAAAGAAAAAGGTCAACCATCTTTTTTCTTTAATAGGTTTCGAACAAGAGATAAACTCTCATCCTTGGCAGATCACCGTCATTATACAAGTACTATAACGGGTAAAAAAATCAGATTTTTCTACTGTATGATAGAAGCTGAATAATAAAAAAAAACATCGCGACATCCGATCAGACTGATCAACCCCATATATATTTTTTTCTTTCATAACGCTCTTTGTAATTTGGGTGATTGTGAACATTGCAGTAAGCAGTAAGCGTTTTTTTATATAAACTATTATTATTATATCATTGTTCTATTGACGAAGATTTCAATATAAAAATAAAAAGTTGTTTTATTTTTTTATTTACAATAATCTTAAAACCGACAAATTAAGTATTTTTTTTATCAAAAATTATTTTATTTCTATTCTTCTGGACATTATCTAGTCCAAAAAATGAAGCAAAAACACATTATTTATCATAAAATCTACGATCCGCTGTCTTATGAATCTAAGAATGAATTTATATTATTGTATAACAAAAACTGATTCTTTTTTAACTTTATTATTAAAAAAATATTTTTTTCTATTTTGATTTTGGTAGTATAATTTGATGATGAGTGAAATATAGCTTTTTCAGAGAAAAGTAATTTAGTAAGAGTTATATTACACTTAAGACGAAATTATGTTATCAAAATAGAACTTTTCAATAATAAAATTTTAAAAAAGTCAATTGTCTGTCTTCTGCAATACAGATTCCTTAGATTTAAGAGACAGCGAATCAGTAGGTTCGTACCCTGATCCTACGAGTAAAAGGTGAAATTATCGCCGGTAGAGCGCACATAATACCAAACAATCAACCGGCGGTATATCGTCAGTTTTTTTCCGGTTCGAATCACATGGGGATATCGTTATCATCGAAAGCTTCAAAAAAGATGAGTATGGGTAATTCCATGGGAATCCTACCATCGTTACAGTGAACACCTTCAAATCACGTCAAATTTATAAGGTTTATAGAACTTTTTGTGCTGATCATTTTGGTTATAAAAAAGTTAATACTTGCACTTAAAATGGCTGAGAAAACTTTAAAATACTGTACCAGGGCTTTCATCGAAAAACCCATATTTTTAGATTATAACAATGAATAACTTGATCATTTCTCGGTCTTAATCCATTTGTATTAGAATTTCACTCGTAAAATATTGTAGTCCGTGTGAAAATGCATCAGACTATGTATAATTGAAAAGTTTTTTCAT